GACTCCCAAGGACGGCAGGCACTGATTGGCGCGAACATAGGGGGAGGGACTGTCTGAACATACCCCAACTGCCGCAGAAACCGCACAGGATAGTACAGCTCGACGATATCGCGGTACCGAATTAACCCGCAATAAATAGTCCTCGGCTCTATCTCGTGCGGGGTAGAGGTGCCGTATGGCAACCATTGCACCTGTTCACAATTGCATAAAAACGTTTATAAAAATATTTATATTATTTTAAATAACGAGTAACAAAATTTAAATAAAAAAATTTTACGTACATCGGAGGCAGTGAGCATGTCAAGTCTCCGACGGATGGCCATGAGACGCTCGTCCTTCCTCTGACCCGCCGGTGGGCTCCACATCTGAGATCGTGCGGAGTCGTTAGGACCGAGGGGTAGACGTCCCCCCTGGGGTCAAAAATCGGGGAAATACTCATAAATCCAAGACTGCATAAGAGTTAAGCAGCCGGAAAGCTGTCTGGAGTCCCCTCTGCTGGCAATACCTAACTGTCGGTACAAATATGCCAGCGTAGCCGATCCCCACGAGTAATCACCAATGGCATCCACGCCATTAAGCACCTCAGCTAGGAGCTTGAGAGTCACTCTACTACCACTCTTGTCGCCGAACAAGGTGGTAGACAGCAGCAACCAAATCCATGCACCAACCTCATCCAACGCCAACTGGTCTTTACCCCAGAATTTCTCCACAACGGAGCCTTCTGCCACACAACCGCGCTGCCAGAACGTCCTAACGAGGTCAGTCTTACTGATCGAAAGTATATCCATGCAATAATCCTGGCAGGCCTTTGTATCCGGCTCCTCAACGACCATGGATCCCTCTACAGGAATGTCCAAAATAGCCCGGACATCGTGCAACATAATGCTCATTTCACCAAAAGGCAGGTGAAATGAGTTAGTATCTGGCTGCCATCGCTCCACAAATGCAGTAAGCAGTGGAGTGTCCAAGTGGGCGTGCATGGAGTCTGCCAGATGTGACAGTCCAATACCCTTGATCATATCAAGTGTCTTGGAAGACATATCACCTCGCCAATCTTTTAAATTACCGAACGCTTGCACTCTGAGATGGCATTTCAGTAAGCCTCGGCACTCTCCATTCCACAACCGCGAGGCTACGTGCCCTAGAAAGCTAGATATCACACTGTCATCCATGGGCCCACCGTCCACTGGACCTCTAACGATCCACTCTGCCTCATGATCAGTCCTAGATCGTTTGCTAGTACCTTCATTAGAATAGAACATAATGTCACTAAAACAGGGTAAGGGTCGTTTTGATATAAAGTGCGCAAAAACGGAGCCAAAACGAGCAAAAAAAGCAGAGTCTATTAAGCTCGCGAATCGCGA